TTTCTATGCCTGCAGTGCCCCTGCTTTTCCTCTTAGATTGCCCTGACTACTCCAGAGTAATGTTTACAGGACTCTGAGTATCAGTGACCCCAATGTGAGCCAGGCAGGTTTCGCAGCAGCACTAACTACAGCATCTACTGTCTGCCAAGAGCACATCTTGTATGAGAGAAAACCTTATACTGTAGCTGAGGTAAAAAAATAAATGTCGCAACCTTTCCCTCTCCCTTTTTGCCACTCAGCAACCTGTAGCATCCTGCAGACCTGGAAACAGAAGGAGGGACCACAAGGAAACAGGCCTCGTTCCCAACCAAAATCAACATCACTGGGCCCCTATGGCTCAGTACAGAGAGCTTCTCACTGAAGGTAGCAGAGGGGAGATGGATGGATGCAGTTAACATGCATCCAGTGATCTGATGCTCTGGATTCACTTCTCAGATCTACCACAGATGCTTCCACCTCTCAGCATCAACTCTCCAACATATGGGTAATATTCCCTTTCCTGTAGCTGTTCTCACACTTGCTCAAACTGTGATTGCTCATGGGGTGCCTACACAGCTCCAGGTGTAACACCTGGACAGTTCTTGGATGGACCCGGCACGGGCTATGTGCCATTCACTGGGTAGGGCTGTTGAAAAGAGACAGAGGGAGATCCCAAGGGGACCAATATGGGGAAGTGAAAGAAGATCAAGAGAAGTTAGAGAGACCAAAGACACTAACCTAATATTTCTGTTTGTGTGCCAGTAACAAGCATAATGTTGTGCTGTACTCCCATAGCTCTGCTGTCAATCCAAGATCCTTTGAGAGCACATTTTCACTGAATGCTCATGGAATTAATTCATTATTACATATCAGAGGAGAATGTTGTTCTAGCCTCAGAGACAGGTAGCTGCTGGGAGGAAGGAAATTTCGCTCCCAGGCACTCTCAGCTGGCCATTTCTAAACAGACAGCACGTGCATTTCAGCAAGTGCCATCTCCCAGGACAGGAAATCTCAGGAAGGGTCCAGTGCGTGATCCAGGGCACAAGCCTCTTTCAGGTATCTGAAACCATTGGTTGCACCATAAGGAAGTGCAGAGCTAAGGAAGGGGCCAGCCTGATTATCTGGTCAGGGCAGAGCATAGGAGAGTGAAATACTCCCGAGGAGCTTTGCATCCAACAGCTAAGTGGTCCCGTGGCCTTGCCTCTCCTGCACTCTGACAGCCCGCCGCTACTTCCATCCAAACAAGACCCAACCAACTCGACGATTCCCACTCACCATTTCACTCTTCTCCCCGAGAAATCCCTGCGCTCATTAACAGCAGACTGCCCAACGCCAGGGTTAGTGCTCCTCTTAGGATGAGTTTCTCTTCCTGTTAAAAAACAAACTGTGGACCTGCAAAGAGGAAGAGATGATGGCATTTCTCTCAGGCTGACTCGGACAACCTGGCTGGGTCCCAGCACACCTGATAGAGCCAGGTCCTGGTAGGGGCAGGGTCTGGCACATGTCAGGAAGCTGGGATCCAGGGTGCTGGGGACTCCGCCTCTTCTCTGCTGGCCTCACGGCAAATAAAACCGCTTCTGACTCTGAGAGCATGTTTACTATGTATCACAAATCAGCCTGAGGGGAATCCTGCTTTTGCTTTCTAAGGCTCACACCTTATCTGCCAGAGCACGTTTGCTGGAAACACCAGGACAAAGTGGAGGATTTCTGCTGGCTTTATGCTGAGACCAACGAGCCTGTCTGGTCTGAGGCATTGTTCTTTGTCTGAAGTGTTCTGTACCACTGGGTACTTGTGTTTTTAAAAGATGAAGAATCTCCTGGCAGACAACAGATATTCACTTTAGCTCCTCACATGTGGTGACTGGACAGTCCTTGGGTGCTTTCTGGTAAATGAAGTCCTGTTGCTAGAAATAAGCAGAGAAAATGAGGACCAGCCATGTCATACAGCACTGGTGGCCAGCACCCAGTGTGGAAACAGACATTAAGGGAACGTGGTAGTTGAACAGCAGGAAACATGTAAGCCTGCAAAAGATCTTTACACAGATCTGCAGCTCAGCCCACTAAAGCACAAGTGCAGAACACGAAACACAATGATGCAACCATTTGGCTAACCAACTTGTTCCTCTGCCTCACTTCCTAAATGCCCTCTTGATTGCAAAAGCCAAGATGAAGCTAAAGGCTCAAGGGAAAGTTGCTTCCTGCAGAGTGTAAATCCCACCCAGTATTAGCAGTAGACACAAATAACAGCCGTCAGAACAAGGAATGTATTAAGAAATTTCCTCCCCTTGAGGAAGTGGTAAGTGCATGCATACAACAGAACATGCAACTGAATCCACAGTCTTTAATGAATGCAGAGACTCATTCTGGGCACAGGTACATTTGCGATTGCCCACTCCCCTCCTCCCCCTCTTAAAAAATTATTTTGGTTAGTGAAATGTAAAACCACACGAAGACCAGAATACGTATGCACACCTTATAGGGTCTGACTTTTTTTTCTTTTTTCTTAAGAAACTTTCACACATTTGGAATTATTGACTGTTAAGCCCAGTCAGTACAGCAGAAATATTCTACATAGACCATTGGTTGAAATACACAGTACAACAGTTGTAAGCACATTGTCACAAGAGACACCTGCACAAATGCTAACAAGTGTACTAATCTGTCAAACCACATTGCAAGCATCTGCAACAAACCAATCTGGGGAAGATAGGAAATTACCAGAACATGGAACAGAAACGTTAAAGTACAAGGGAAGCTCCTACGGCCACTTATCTCCAGAGTCATTGCTCCCATTGGAG